ACTTAGATCTGTTGTTACTTTTTTGGGATCTCCGGTTGTCTCCAATGTCCAAAAATATACCTTTCTTTAAATTCATGAACAATTGCTGTAGCCAAAAAACTGCTTATGTCCTTTATAATGTAGCCATAGCAAAAAATATTCGTAATGTTCCCACTTAGTATGAGGTAGTAGCATATTTGGCATCTAAGTTCTTTATATTGCAGGGAATATTCTATTTGTAGTTCCTCATTTACTAGCTCCAGAGATTTTGTTAGCAACTCTTGTGACTCAGAGTAGTTTCCAATTGAATACAAACTCTCTCCAACAATGTGTAGTAAACGTACAGATTTTGTTTCAGAACTAAGACCTTCCTTTCCTAGCATAGCAGCCAGATGATAAAATTTATATCTTGATGCTCTGGATAAAACAGATGCAAAATCAAAGCATTCTGCTCTGTTATTTTTGCACTTATTCCTTTGGTTGATGATTTCAAACATTTTAGATTGTGACATTGATAGCAAGGTTTCCATTGTCTCCGAAATGTGAAGCCATTGCAGTCTCAAATATTGGGCAATCGTTGCTGCAAATGACACTTGATATACTGCAGTGGATGCTGAGAATGGAAGGAGAGGGGTATGGCACGGAGTTAGCAAAATGATGAGCAGGCTTGGTCTGACAAAAGAGAGTGGAAACACAGAGCAATATTCATGGATATGATTCACAGCCAATATATAAAGAATTATTTACCCTTGTTCTCTGAGTCTCAGAGTCTCTCTGGGCCTTCTGAAAGTTAGCCACAAGAGCCTCACTTGATCGCAGCTGTTCCTCCTGCAGCCAGGAGGACTTCTAGTCACAAAACATGACACATCCTGCAGTTATCACTATTCACCTTCTGTCTCAGTTGCTGCTGAGTCTCAGCTAACTCTCTCTCCTTCCTTGTTAGCTCATCTCTCACTGTCTGCTTCTCTCTTAGCTCCCTGTCCTTGGCCTGCACTAACTCAGTCTCCAGCAGTCAGGAGAACCTCGTTACACTGCATTAGTTCCACAGACTTGACTAACCCTCTCTGTGAGCTGATCAGCTGTTATCTGATTGTCTGTTTCTCTCTCTCACCGGATTCTAGTTGATGTTGGAGCTCAAAGTTCTCCAATCCTTTGGTTACTATAATTATGGATGAAAGTAAGTCCCTCACTTGGTTTCTGGATTGTAATTGTTGTTGCACAACAATCTGTTTCTCCCTTTCACTGGACTGTAGCAGTTCTTCCTGCAAATTATAGAGAGCACGAGTGCTAAAGAAGGAGAAGAAGAAGAAGAAGAAGAAGAATTATGATGACACGAAAATGGTGAAATCGCGTATGAGCGAATTCTCGCGTGGACGACTAAAGGTGCGTATGATGTCTTGGTGAACATGTATAGGTAGATATGGGCCCGTATATAGACTATTGCTAGTATGTTTTGAAGGCCTAGGAAGTGATTCTCACCGAGTTTTTAGTCGTTTTGTACGCGGATCACGTGAGATTTCACCCGTGTCGTCCCTTATAGAGAGTCTACTACCAACTCTCTAGAGAGTTGGTAGTAGACTCTCTATAAGGGACGAGATTTCACCCGTGTCGTCCCTTATAGAGAGTCTACTACCAACTCTCTAGAGAGTTGGTAGTAGACTCTCTATAAGGGACGACACGGGTGAAATCTCACGTGATCCGCGTACAAAACGACTAAAAACTCGGTGAGAATCACTTCCTAGGCCTTCAAAACATACTAGCAATAGTCTACGGGCCCATATCCACCTATACATGTCCCCCAAGAGCTCATACGCACCTTCAGTCGTCCACGCGAGAATTCGCTCATACGCGATTTCACGATTTTCGTGTCATCATAATTCTTCTTCTTCTTCTTCTTCTTCTTCTTTAAACCCGCTATCTCCTTACCAGTACCAGTTCAAACACTGATTTTTTCACTGAAGGTCTCCAATTTCGCCGGAGGTGTGCACGGACATCAAGCGATCGTTTCTTTCTTGCCGCTAGTCACTACGGTAGATCATGGAGCTCTTCCCTGGTCGACCTGAACAACGCCATTTGCTGCTTACTCAGCATCATTGATGCGCGCGCATGCGCCAGGCAGGGGCGTTGTCCAATGTGCTTGCGAACGTATTCTACCGGGCGAGTTGGCAGACCTGCAGAGGAACTGTCAGCCTCCAGTACCTTCTGTAAGTAAGTGTGCACATTTCCAACTGGCTATCTTGCTGTTGATATGCACGAAGAGCAACTTGCCAGAGTCTGCGCGGTGTTACGCGAGCCTTGCGGGGCACTCAGTCAAATGGGCCTTCATTGTTTGTCCCCCCCAGGTTGTAGCCTGATTACCAAAGCCTGCCAACGAAACCACAACCATGTGCAATAATCTAATTACATCCTTGTTGAAGACAATACATGGTATCTAGCAGTCCATTAGCTACTACTTTCAATTTGTCTATGGTAGCCTATCTACAACATAGCCATTGAACATCAGAGTGACTGTAACAATAAATGCAGTGTTGCCAGAAGCTGTTAAAAATAGTGGAAACAAGTGGAAAAATCATTTCTTCAAAATGAAAGGGGGATATAGGGATGGCTTGAAGCACCAAAAAGGAAGAAACAAGGGGTCATTACACAGCAAAGTTGCACAAAGCTACATGACACCATCCCTATATCTTTGTTTTATTGTTTATAAGCAAAGTTTAATATCAAACAATATCAAACAAAGATATAGGGATGGTGTCATGTAGCTTTGTGCAACTTTGCTGTGTAATGACCCCTTGTTTCTTCCTTTTTGGTGCTTCAAGCCATCCCTATATCCCCCTTTCATTTTGAAGAAATGATTTTTCCACTTGTATAATGTTTCAAAGAATGATTCCACACTAGCTCTCTCATCAGAGAAATAAGAATCCAAGCACTTAAGTAAAAGCAATGGTATAGATGGTGGGAGAAACCGCAGCAAAATGTTTATTCGATATTCGTGTGATACTGTTTTAATTGCAAAGAAAGTATAATCCATATGTTTGCGGCTGATAAACAGCGTAAACATGTGCAAAACGTTGTGTACCTCATTATTTAAGATCTCCAGTTCCAAACCAATTCCATCGTCTGGAATAGCTTTTTGAAGTAACTGGGCAAAGTGGAGTTGGTATTGGCTATTAAAATAGTACTGTAATTTTTCAGCATCCTTGCCATCACTTAATCATGGTCCAAATGAATTCAACATTTTTCACTGAACGTGTCCCGCGATGGTGAAGATGTGCATCGTCTTGAAGCGATCATTATTTGATTTCCGCCAAGCGCTATGAAATATACTGCAGGACAATGACAGCAGACAGAAAACTACGCCATTTTCTCGGTTGGAGGCGCGCCGGCGTGAGATCTGCGGCCCCGCAAGACCCCACCCACTTGCGCGTGCGCTTACGCGCTCATATAGACCGCGTGGTCGTCGTGGCTTCTCGCTCTCGTCGTTGAGCTCTGTTTGCCTCGTTGTTTATGCCAGTGAACTTTACGTTTTGCCCGGGTTTTCCACTGTGCTCCCGAGTCTATTTACCACCAATTTCTTTTCTCTATCAGTCTTGTTGGTAAGAAGGAACTATTGTGTGCACAATCCAGCTCACATTGGGAATTTTCTTTATAGGTTCCCTACGGCACTCCGTGTCTGTATTATCCGCCGTGGCTGCTATTTTTGTCTTCGTGCCACGCCCTTTTTGTTCAAAGGTAAGTGTAGTTACGTATGACGAATAGTACTGTACATCATCCTGTATTATGTGTATTATACTCCTATAGCTCTGTATTCTACTGGCCCCTGCTGCTACCAACTGTATTTGCGGATTTGGGGACACAGCTACTCATTTTATATCGAAGGTAACCTTTGCCAAATTGTCTGCATTTCATCATGACCTTTTTTGCTTTTTAGTTGTATATACGAGGTGGCACTCGACACTCCTTTCGTGCCTGGGTGTACCCACTGGCCCTGCTGCACTTTGTTGGAGTTCGTGCTGCATCTTGTGGTCGTCATGGAAACGATGTAATACACATGCGCACCAAGTTTCATCTCCATGCTGTGATACTGTTAGCGAGTTTGAGGAGTGAAGAAGTAATTTTAAAGAAAAGTGCCTGAGGCTATTTGTTGTTGTAGTTGTCATGGAAACGATGTAATACACATGCGCACCAAGTTTCACCTCCATGCATGCTACAATTAGCAAGTTTGAGGAGTGAAGAAGTAATTTAAAGAAAATTGCTGGAGGCCTTTTCGAACAATATGCGGTCGTCATGGAAACATGTAATCGTCATGGAAATGATATAATAGGCATACGTACCAAGTTTCATCTCTATGCGTGCTACCATTGGAAAGTTTGAGAAGTGAAGAAAGTTAATTTAAAGAAAAGTGCCTGAGGCTATTTGTTGTTATTTACAAACATGTATTGTTGGGATTTGATGTTGGCTATTGAATACATTGTGTATACAAACTTTCGCTCGCATAACTCTTACCAATTGTGAGTTACACTGACACATGTAGTATGCCCATTATAACGTATTGCCCATTATAATGTATTGCCTGGGGCAATGTTGTTGTTGTTTACAGTAAACAACATTGTTTACAAACAAAAAAGTATGACGTTGCCCATGTGGTTATCGATATGTACATTCCTACAAAATTCATGGCTTTATCTCTTTCGGATTTTGAGTTACGCTGGTCGAAGAAGAAGAAGAAGAAGAAGAAGATGATGAACAAAACTCCCTATCATAGCCCCATACATCTATGTCATCCTATATAGTAAGTACTACCGTACTTAGTGATACACTCTTCATCTGTCGTGACTGCAGAAGCAGTGAGGAGAGTGACAGAGAGGAGGTGCTACTGGTATGGGTGTTGGTCCCAGTGCTAGGTGTGGTGGTCCTGGTGGCTCTACTGGTCCCTGTCACGATCATTGTGTGGAGGGTTTGGAAAAGGTGTGCACTCATTTCTATCCTCCACCAGCCATGGTCATCCCATAGAGTGCTGTAGTAGTGCACTAAAATTTAATGTAGTATGTGTATGATTCATACACAGTATTACTGTTTCTATGCAGTGTTACCTACATTCCTGATGGTGTTTTACAATTACTTAGAGAATGCAGGTTCACACTTCAGTCTAATTATAATTAACATTCACCCCATTTTTAATTAACCTAAGTAGGACATGTACTAGTTCAGGGGGAGAAGATCAGACAACCCTCCGTTCTTTCAATCCAGATATGTGGCCACTAGGGTAAAACTGGTTAGACAAGTAGTTTCTCAATGAATTCAACACTTCACAAGAGTATGTTCATTTCTACTTTGCAGTGCAGAAAAACTGGGCCTCTTTATAGTCCAGTTGTAAGGAACAGGGAAAAGTAGAGTGGTAAAAAAAAACAATCTGAGATATCAATCTTAGTGCCATAGGTTTACTCCTGTCAGTGG